TCCTGGCCCCTGCTCAGCCTGCTTTCTTATGCAACACAGGCCCACCTGCCCAGGGGTGGCACCACCCACAGTGGGCTGGGCCCTCCCACATCACTCATCAAGAAGATGCCCTTTCGGCATGGCCACAGGCCAGTCCAATAGAGGCAATTTCCCGATTGAGGCTCCCTCAACCCAGGTGTGTCAAGTTGACACTAAAGCTATCCAGCACAATGGGAAAGGGCAAACCGAGAGATTATGAGGCAGTTAAAACATAGAAGAGGGAAAGTAGACCCTTTAACCAGGCTGACATTTCTACATGGATTTGAATTTTTTTCAGGGAGAATGTATCATTACAAGTAGTTTTCAGGGTGCTTTTTGTTTTGTTTTTGTTTTTGATTTAGGGTCTCACTTTGTAACCCCTAGTGGCCTCAACTTATGGGGCAAACCGAGAGATTATGAGGCAGTTAAAACATAGAAGAGGGAAAGTAGACCCTTTAACCAGGCTGACATTTCTACATGGATTTGAATTTTTTTCAGGGAGAATGTATCATTACAAGTAGTTTTCAGGGTGCTTTTTGTTTTGTTTTTGTTTTTGATTTAGGGTCTCACTTTGTAACCCCTAGTGGCCTCAACTTATGATCCTCTTTTCTGAGGCTCATGAATGCTGATCATATGCACATGCCCACAGCTGAACTACTCTTCTTAAAGTAAACCTTGAAATGTGTATTTGTTACTGTTGTGGGGCTAGGGATCAAATACAGGACCTTATTCATGTCAGACAAGCCCTCTACCTCTGACAAAGAACAAAAATGATTCAGTCCAGGCAGCTGAAATGTTGATAAATTTTCTATTTCAAATATTGATAAGTTTTCTGTTTTAAATGTTTATTTGCCGGGGGCTGGAGAGATGGCTCAGGGATTAAGAGCACTGACTGCTCTTACGGAGGACCCAGGTTTGATTCCCAGCACCCACATGGTGGCTACACACTGTCCTTAACTCCAGTTCCAGGGGAATCCAAAGCCCTCTTCTGACCTCTGAGGCATTGCACGACACAGGTGCACTCATATACATGCAGGCAATACACTCATACACATAAAACAAAAATAATAAAAATTTTTTAAAGTGTTTATTTGCCATAAATAGTCTACTTTTGTAGTAAAAGGGAAAGAAAAATCTTATGCTTGCTTAGATTTAATTTGACCAAGTCCAGGGGTGTTAGGATCCTAGTTAAAGGGATTGGAGAGGCAGGTAAAGGAAATAAAAATCGGTGTCAGATGGAGAGCAAGCCTTCATCTCACTTGGGGTTTCTAACCGAAGCTCCGAAGTGGGAATAATACCAGCTCTGTGTAGATAGATTTACAGAGTTCACTGTGGACATAGATCAGGTGGCAAGTAGGGGTAAAGGTGTATTTTAGAGATAGTAGAAAAAAGTGAATCTTGAAATTTCTTCATTTCTACTTTCAAATAAAAGACTGTCATAAAAAATAATTTAAAAAAAAAAAAAAGACTGTCTTTTGTTTTCTTTTGGTGGTACTGGGGAATGAACCTAAGGGCTCAAACATGTTAGGCCAGCATTCTGCCACTGAGCTGCATCCCTAATCCTTGACAGTTCTTACTGGTTTTTTGGTCTTTTTGAGACAGGGTCTGCCTATAGCCCCAGCTGGCCTGGCACTCCCTATGTAGACCAGGCTGGCCTCAAAATCACAGAGATCCATCTATCTCTGCCTCCTGAGTGCTGGGATTAAAGGTGTGGCCACCATGCCCAGTTGGACATTTCCTACTATAAAAATATATAATGGGTACACATGTATATGTGTATTATGTATTTTATTTTACGTGTATGAGTATTTTGCCTGCATGTAAGTGTATCATGTGCATGCAGTGCCTGCAAAGACCAGAAGAAGGCATCTGATCTCCTGAACTGGAGTTACAGTTGGTAGCTGCCATGTGGGTGCTGGGAATTGAACCTGGGTCCTCTACAGGAGCAGCCAATGCTCTGAATCACAGAGGCATCTCTCCATCCAGCCCTATACAGTGTACTTTGATCATAATCCTCTTCTGCCAACTCTTCCCGGATCCACCCCCACTTCCCTATCCACCCAACTTCACCCCCCCCCCCATTGAGTCTAATTTATGTCATCCAAATACTCTTGAGTGTGTGTGGTATATGCCCTGAAATGTGCTTAACCTATCAGGGGCCACACCCTTAAAGAAAACTGACTCTTCAGACTCTCTTAGCAGCTGTCATATGCCAATAGTTCCTTAGCTAGGTGTGTGGACTTTGTGCCCACCTCCCCTCTCCATGCTTGGATTGTGTCTAGCTTGAGCTTGAGCAGTTTTTGTGCATTCTGACACAGCTGCTGTGAGACAACTGCCTTGCTGTCTGTAAAGCACTGTTGCCTTGTAGTCACCCCCATTTCTGGCTCTTAAAATCTCTCTCTCTCTTCTTCCTCAAAGATCCCTGAGCCTTGGTGGGAGGGATGTGATATAGATTTGAACACTCCACAGTCTCATTCTTTACACGTTGACCAGCTATGGGCTGTGTATTAATTGCCTTTTATTGCAAGAAGCTTCTCTGGGGCTGGAGAGATAGCTCAGCAGTTAAGAGCATTGGCTGCTCTTACAGAGGACCAGGGTTCAATTCCCAGCACCCACATGGTGGCTGACAACCAGCTGTAGATCCAGGTCCAGAGGAATCCAATGCCCCTTTCTGACCTCCATAGGCATTGCATGACACGGGTACACTTACATACATGCAGGCAGTATACTCAGACACAAAAAAATAATAAATAAAATATTTTTTAAAAAGAATAAGCTTTGTTGATGAGGGTTGAGAAATGAACTAATCAGGCTTAGCCACTGTGTGGGCATAAATGTTTTTTAAAAATTGCCTTTCTCATTACCATTTTTGGCACTCTCCATTACTCTTAGGACAAGCTTCTATCTAAATCATGTCCTTTAGTCTGAAGAACTTTAGCATTCCTGGTAGTCTGAGTCTGTTGGGAACAAATTCTTTCTTTTCGTTTATCTAGAAATCTTTTTTTAAAAAATATTTTATTTATTATTTTTATTTCATGTGTATGAGTGTATTGCTTGCGTGTATGTGAATGTACCCGTGTCATGCAGTGCCACAGAGGTCAGAAGAGGGTTTTAGATTCCCCTGGAACTGGAGTTAAGGATGGTTTGTAGCTGCCATGTGGGTGCTGGGAATCGAACCCAGGTCCACTGCAAGAGCAGTCAGTTCTCTTAACTGCTGAGCATCTCTCAACAAATTCAGGGAAACTGAAGTAAGATCCTGCATTCTACCTGACCACAATGGAATAAAGCAAAATTATAGCAGCAACAAAAAGGACAGAAAGAACACAAACTAATGGAGACTAAACACACCATTGAATAAAAATTGGTTCAAGGGAGAAATCAATAAGGAAATTTAAAAATTCTTAGAATCGAATGAAACTGAAAACATAACACACCAAAATCTATGGGACACAATGAAGGCAGTCCAAGAGGAAAGTTTACAGCACTAAGGGCCTACATCCAAAATTAGACATTTCATATTATGAACTCAATGATGGACCCGAAGGCCTTGAAAAGTAAGAGCAAACAATATCCAAAAAACAGTAGATAGGAAGAGATAATCAAAATCAGGGCTGAAATTAATGAAATGGAAATGAAAAAAAAACAATACAAAGAATCAATTTGAAAAGATAACAAGACTAGTAAACCTTTAGCCAAATTAACCAAATGAAAGAGGACACTAATTGATAAAGTCAGACATGAAAAGGGAAACATTACAACAAATCTTAAGGACATACTTTAAAAAAAATTCTATATTCCAGTAAAGAGGAAAGTCTAAAAGAAATGTACAAATTTTTAGATATATATGACCTAAGAATTAAATCAAGGAGAAGCAAATAATTTAAGTAGAACCACAGCAACCAATAAAGCAGTAACTTAAAATCTCCCAACTAGGGGCTGAAGAGATGGTTCAGAGGTTAAGATCACTGGTTGCTCTTGCAGAGGCCCCAGGTTTGGTTCCCAGCACCCACATGGTAGCTTACAACTGTCTATAACTCCAGTTTAAGGTGTTACAGGCCTTCACCTGTCCTCTAAGGGATTGCAAGAGCCAGAGGCAGTGGACGACTATTAGGAAACTGTTTTCTGGACACTACTGGACAGCTGCACATGTGACCTCTAAGAAGGCTGTGACAGCATGCAGAAGACCTGTGCAGGCAACTGATTGCTGCTCGATGAAGACCTGATCTTCCTAAAACAAGGGACTCTAGATAGGCTGACTAGACCTCAGTGGATGGACTTGCACTGGGGAATAGCTGGGGGCACTGACAACACAGTGGATAGTAACAGGGATGACAGAGTATATGGGCTCCAGTGGCAGGGGAGGCTATGGGAGGGTGCCATTTGGGATGGGGGTTTACATTAAGATTGTTTGGGGTGTTCTGTATGAAATACACACACACACAAAAATCAATCAAAAAAAAAGCACTGGCTGCTCTGTGTTGATGTGTCAGTGGGCTGTTAGAAGTGTCTTCCTGTTGCACAAAAGAAAAAGATATCCCAGAAGAAACTTATGGCACAGGAATAAATTGAGCATAAAATAAATGCAGATAAAAGTGTGAAAAAGAAAAGTGTGTTCCTGCATAGCTAGCAATGGGGACACTTCTGAGGCCCATAGCAAATCTTCTGTAGGGTCAGAAGATTCTCAGTGCTGACCTTTAGAAGTCTGTGGAGGGAAGCTGGGTGTGGTCACTCACACCTTTAATCCCAGCACTCGGGAGGCAGAGGCAGGCTGATCTCTGTAAGTTCGAGGGCAGCCTGGTCTACATAGCAAGTTCCAGGACAGCTTGGGCTACAGGGAGACCCTGTCTCAAAAAAAGACCAAAAAAAAGTCTGGAAGGCTCACCAGTTTCTACAGGTAGTCTGTGATTGCAGGCACTCAGGTCACAGTAGGAATATGTGGTACTCCTGGAAGCTGGGCACAGTACACCACAATGTCTTCAGGTGGAATTGAATAGGGTGGCAACTGGTTTGGTCAGTCTACTGGGGTTGGAGGGAGGGGGTGACAAAAAAGACCATGAGGTCCCAGGACAAACCAGGTAAGTGAGGTAGCTGATATGCAGGCAGACTGCCTGGGTATCCCTAACTGGGATGTGGGTGGCAGGACTCCACATAGTCCCCAAGCAGCACAGTTGGTGTGGTGGCTAGTGGAAAGGTGGGCCTCTGAGGGCAGATGTGTGAGTTGAGATTTGTAATAGAACTCTAGCAGAATGACTTTTCAGTTGAAGGGAGATAGGCTAACGCTGTAAAGAACATGAAAGGCAGGATGCTGGGTATTTGAAACAACTTCTTAAACTTCTCTATCATGCCAATAAAACACATCTTGACCTCTTTTCCAACTAGATATGAAGAAGCTGAAGTTCGGAAAAAACTTGAAGAAAAGGACAGACAGGAGGAAGAGCTGCAGCAGCAGAAGAGGCAGGAAGCAGCAGGAAGAGAGGATGGTGGTTCCGGGGCCAAAAGCTCTTTGGAGAATGTACTGGATTCCCAAAACAAAACCCAAAGGGTATTTCCAGTTTATTGTGGAAGTAAACATTGTTCTGTTTGCCAGATGGCTTGCTTATGAGAAGTTGAGGTGCCACTGTAAAGTTTTTCTAGGCAACGGGGGTAAAATTTCACATTTAGTCAGAATATTAAATGTTCCTGCTTCAGTTGATTCCAGGTTTTTCTGTAAACTTCATGGCAGTACTGTTCTGTCCATCAGTTACATTTTTTGGCAGTGTTGTAAGCTTAATGAAGTGATAGAACATTTGATTTTTCAGTACATCTTAGTTCTGGGTCTGTGTCAAGGCTTGCCTAACAATTCTTGGATACAATTTCCTCATTTGTGAAGTGATGGTCTTAAAATAGATCTGAAGGTTTCATTTTCTCATAATGAAATTTACATTAAGAGAAGGATTTGGGGGCTGGAGAGAGGCTCAGCAGTTAAGAGCACTGGCTGCTTTTACAGAGCAAGAGTTGAATGCTGGGTTTAGTTCCCAGCACCCACATGGTGGCTAACAACCATCTGTAACTCCAGTTCCAGGGGATCTGACTCCCTCTTCTGGCCTCCACAGGCATTGCATGACAGGAGTGCACATACATACATGCATGCCAAACCCTCATATACATAAAATAAAAATGAATAAATAAAACTTAAGTTTAAAAAAGAGAGAGAGAAGGATTTCATTTCTTACTCCAGTTAGTTCCACCCAGTGTTTTGTTTCTGGAGCTTCATTCACTTATACTTGTTTTTTTTCCTCCTCTCTCTACCCCAGGTTCCCCTTCCCCTGTCTGTCACTCTCCATTTTGTTTAGCTACTACTGGTATCCTTTTCAGCATCTGTATCATCTATTTGTCAAAAGCCACCTGTGACTGTCTATACCTGTCAACTATCACTGTGTCTCCCTTCCTTTACTTCCTCAGAAACTATTCTTCCTAAAATACAAGTTCTTCTGTATTCCTGAGTAATTGAAATTTTTTCTCCTCTGATTGCTCTGATGTCTTGTGAATTTCCTAAGTATTTTGTAGCTTTCTGCTATCATTTGTATGTGGATCATCATCATTTTTTTTCATTTGGAGTTTTTTTTTTTTGTTAGCACTCTGTAAAGAGGTAAAGAAATCTGATCTTTCATTCTTAGAACTTACAATATAGGAGCCAGGCATAGTGACACATGCCTTTAATCCCAGCACTTGGGAGGCAGAGGCAGAAGGATCTCTGTGAGTTCAAGGCCAGCCTGGTCTACATAGTGAGTTCCAGGCCAGCTGGGGCTTCAGGGAGACCCTACTTCAAAAAGACCAAAAAATAAAACAAACAAAACCTTCACAATATAGATAAATAATACTAACAGGGAGATGTTTATTGATAGGTCAAAAACTGTTCCTTTTCAAAAGTGATCAGTCTTTTTTTAATTAAAAAAAAAAAAAGAGTCGCATATAGCCCATGCTGACCTCAATCTCAGTATGTAGCCAAGGCTGGCCTTGAACTCCTGATCCCCCTGCTTCTACTTCCCAAGTACTGGGGATTATAGACCGGTGTCACCACACTCAGTTTACGTAGTGCTGAACAAGCGTTTTACCAGCTGAGCTACATTTCCAACTCCCTTTGTTAATTTAACTTTTGCCTTTTTATTTTGGAAAGAAAATACTGTTAAGCCCTACCACCAGCTGTAATAGTTAACTAACATCTTACTGCACTTTTTATTTGTCTACTGCACTTTTTCTTTTGCTTGGGTATTTCAAAGCAAATTCTGGCTATTATGCTATAATCTGATACCCTGCTTGTCTTAAAATGATTTTTTTTCTCAAGTTGATTTGTTGACTCATGATCCAAACAACATGAGTACCTTGTGGCTATTAGATCCTTTAAGATCCTAAAATAATCTTCATTTGAGATTCTCTTTCTCTGAATTTCCATTCCATGCACTTTATTTAATAATAGAAAGTGAAATGTTTTACATTTGTACAATGGCTCCCCCCTTGTGTCATTTCACTTGTTTTTCTGTCATATTTTCTTTACTTCCTGCAGTGTGAGGTCAGGCTCAAGTTCTGTTTTATGACACAAATTCTCTATAAATGCTACTGTGTATCTCATATCGTATTTGGGGGTGTGTGATATACATAACGTGTGTGGTACTAGCATTGATTCATAGGTTCAAGTGGATCCTTGGTTTTCCCATCTGTAAATGAATAGGCATCTTACAGAGTTATCTCATACTGTTTTGGTTAGAAAATGTAAATATGAAAGTGGTATACTGCAACCTCTCTTTCCTATAGATTTTATAGTGGAAGATACTGATAGGATAGCTAGAATTGTTTCACTGTGTGAAGTGCTTTCTAATTAAATACTATATTTCTCTAACAACTTATTCTTTTAAATTATATTTGACACTTGATTGAGAAAACTTTGAGGAATTGTATAATGATTCTGATGTGCTGCTAGTTATTTTAGCTGCTGTCTGCTGCCTAGTAAAGTAACCTAGCAAAGTCATTATTCATCTGTATTCGGGGGGGGTGGGGAAGTACTGGGAATGGAAACCAGTGTCTCATGGATGCTAGGCAATGAGCTACCACTGAGCTAGACCCTATTCATGTGTTTCTACAAAATGTCATAACTTGGCACAGACCAAGTCTTTTAGCCTTTTCATTGCAGTAAGATACTAAATTTGAGTCTATTTTTTATATGAAAATTGAAACTCTTTTCCCCTATGAAATAGATCAACGGTGAGAAGAATGAAAAGGATGGAACATCAGGGAAAGGTAAGTATGTGAGCAAGCGGACAGTCTGAAGTTCTTAGGAGTTTTGGGGGCTTTTTTGTTTTGTTTTTGGTCTTTTTGAGACAGGGTCTCCCTGCAGCCCCAGCTAGCCTGGAACTCACTATGTAGACCAGGCTGGCCTTGAACTCACAGAGCTCTGCCTGCCTCTGCCTCCTGAGTTCTGGGACTAAAGGTGTGTGCCACCATGCCCAGCTCAGTTTCTGTATTTCTTAAAGGAATATTTCAAGGAAAATTTTAGCCTGGCATGATAAAATGTGGCAATGTATAGTTTACTTGTTTTCTTTTTTCTTTTTGGTCTTTTTGAGACAGGATCTCTCTGTATCCCCAGCTGGCCTGGAACTCACTATGTAAACCAGGCTGGCCTTGAACTCACAGACATCTGCCTCCCGAGTGCTGGGATTAAAGGTGGGCGCCACCATGCCCAGCTATTTTAATTTTATATATATGCATGTATTGCCTGCATGTAGGTAACTGCACTGTGTTGTGCAATGCCCATGGAGGACAGAAGAGGCTATCAGATCCCCTGGAACTGGAGTTATGGACAGTTGTTATCTCCCATGTGGGTGCTGGGATTTGAACACAGGTCTTCTGCAAGAACAGCCAGTGTTAACCGCTAAGCCATCTCTCCAGCCCCTACTTGTTTTCTTTTCTAGATGCAGTAGTTAAGTATAGCACAGTGGTTAAGAGGATGAACTCTCAGAAGTCAGATTTTGAATACTGGTTCCCTCTCTGAAATCTTGAATCTGATACTGTAAGCTCTACCTCAGTTTCCCGAGTGGGGTTGCATTAGTTTTGTGTCTTCCTGTCCTTTGCTAAAATACTCTGACGAAGGCAGACAGTTCCATGACAGCAGGGAATACATGGTATCAGGAGCCTCATAGAGGCAGCTGGTCACATTACATCTGCAGTCAGGAAGCAGAGGGAGATGAATGTTGGTGTTCAGCTTGTTTCTCCTTTTCACTTAGTGTAGGACCTCAGCTTGTGGAAGGGTGCCACTCACAGTTAAAGTGGGTCTTCCTACTTCAATTAACATAGATAGAGAGGTAATCCCTCATAGACATGTCTAGAAACTTATCTCCAAGGTGATTTTAGATCCTGTCAAGTTGAGTCTCAATATTAACTGTCATAGGGATTGAAAAGGGAACCTATTTCATAGTTAATTTCAGTTACTATATCTTGAACTTTCAGAATCCATAGTAAATTTTAAGTGTTGGCTATTATTGTGACTCTAGATTAGAGACTTATTTATTTAAGAGGTGTCCTTTCCCCCCTAGGAAAAAAAATCCAAACCATTAATTTGAATGTATCCATATAAGGTGATATTGGTGCTCTACAGACAGATCCCTGGCCTACCAACAAGTTAGGAAGCTGCCTTCATCCACTAGAGAAATGTTTCCTCTTGGCAAAGGTTTAAATTAAATGTAATTTCATGTAACACTAAAGCGAATTGTGCATGGATCATATTGCCATACAGTAATTTTTATAATAAACTATGTAGTATAAATAAGGTGCCTTCCTAGAGGCTGTTGTTGATTATCCAGGTATTAGTTTTTGTCCGTTTATTCCTTGGTATTTCAGCATGCTTACTCTATTCAGTGGTTGGCAGCTTGAATTTTTTATTTAACCATTTTTTATGATCTTAAATTTCCCATCCTCCTCTACTTCTGAGTACACTACCATGCCAGTTTATGCAGTGCTGGTGATCAAAGCAGGGTCGTATATAAATGGACTCATGCATTTAAGACAAGCATTCTATCACCTGAGCCATATCATCCCAGTCCTTGAGACTATGAACTATAGATTTTGTGTGTGAAAATGTTTCTGCTGTCTTAATAAGACATGTATTTTAATTTCCTTCCCTTTATACCAGTAGCAGAACCAACACCAGATGTAGTCATAACCTTAGCAACCAAGTGTTTATTGGGGTTTGGGGACTTGCTGGGAATTAAATCCAGGGTCTAGCACATTCTAGGCAAGAATTAGTCCATTGAAATACAATCCAAGCCTGTTTTATAAGCAAGGCATACTTGTTTCTTGATAAATGTTAATGTAAAGCCGGGTATGGTGGCGAACACCTTTAATCCCAGCACTTGGGAGGCAGAGGCAGGCGGCTCTCTTTGAGTTCAAGGCCAGCCTGTTCTATATAGAGAGTTCCAGGACAGCTGGGGCTACAGGGAGACCCTGCTTCAAAAAGACCAATAAAATAAAATAAAATGTTAACGTAAGATAAAGTATATTTAATGGTAGTGTAAAAGATAACAAATGGTAAGGTATTTAGCAAGTATGTGATACAATGTATGCTTGCTCCTGTGTTTCAAGAGGCCAGCATACAAAACTGGACGTTTCTTGTCTCTCAATTCCAAGGAACAATCACAGCAAAGGAGCTATACACAATGATGATGGATAAAAACATCAGCTTGATTATAATGGATGCTCGACGAATACAAGATTATCAGCATTCATGTATCTCAAATTCTCTCAGTGTTCCTGAAGAAGCTATTAATCCAGGGTAGGTCACTGTGTTTATGAGACACAGGGTTTTGCTGTGTGGCCCAGACTGGCCTTAAAGTTTTGCCTCTTACCGTGGCTTCTCCGGTCTGGGATGTGGACTGTGCCACCACTCCTGGTTGTTTTCTATTTTGTGTAAATGACTGCGTTCTTATATTCACTGTTATATCTTTGATAGTCTGCTCAATTATTATATACAGGTGTAGTTTGTGTGTTACTGTGTGTAGTTGTAGTTTGTGTGTTATCGGTGTTATGTGTGTTTTCTTGTGTTACTACAACACAATTTACCTACCTATCTTTATTTTTTGACTTGGACTTTAGTGGTTTTTCCATTTATATAAAGACTGTTCTGGTTTGTTTCTTCATTGCTGTGACAAAACACTCTGACCACTACCAACTTGAAGAGGAAAGGGTTTATTTGTCTTACATCTCTGGGGTCACAGTTCATCAAGGAGTCCAAGGTAGAACTCGGGACAGGAAACTGGAGGCAGGAGCTGGAGCACAGGCCATGGAGGAATGCTGCTTACTTTACTCCCCTGGTCCCTGCTCAGCCTGCTTTCTTATGCAAGACAGGCCCACCTGCCCAGGGGTGGCACCACCCACTGTGGGCTGAGATCTCCCACATCACTCAACAATCAGAAGATGCCTCACAGATGTGGTCCGGGCCAGTTCAATGGAGACAGTTCCCCAGTTGAGGCTCCCTCTACCCAGGTGTGTCAAGTTGACACTAAAGCTATCCAGAACAAGGACATATAAATTTATGATAATTTGCATTTTATTAATCATTATATTTAAAATTATAGGACAGGTCGAAGCAAATTGTAGCAAATTGTGAAGATGACACATGAAAGACTTAAATAAATTTGGGAGACATTTTTTGATCCTGTTATTTCCCAACATGTTCTTTATGTAAGAAACATATGTCTTTTCTTTCAAATCCTGTAAAACTTGGTTGGTTTATAACAAAGAATTCTAATCTTTTCATCTCACCATAACCTGTAAGACTTTTATTTAAGGAAAGGCCCTAATGTATTCCTGAGCCTGATGGCCCAGGGTGGTGGAGCTCTGCTCCCATTGCCCCAGGAAAGACTGAAATTGGACCCTTGCCAGTGAGCAAAAGACACAGTTCTGTTGCATTAGGAATAAAAGCCCACCAGGCTTCTGGGTCCTGTGTGTGTTTGCTGGATCTGACTGCCCATGCAAGGTATCATTTTGCAGAAGTAAAATCTGCTTTGCTAAGTTATTTTTGCTTTGTCTGAGTTTTTTTTGTGCAGTATTGATGTGGTCATTGGACCTTGGATTTTATTTTTAACATTTAGGATGCTAACCCTGAAAGCAGTATTTAGGTAAATATATCTCTAGATTTGGAAGTGGTCCTTAAGAATATCATGTTTTATTTTTTCTCATTCTTTATAGGCCAAGCACAATAACCAACATTATTATTTAGGGACAGAATTTAAGTTTTAAGTTTTTTTATTGAATTTTTGTGTATTCATACAAACATCTCAATCTTAATCAACTTTACCCCCCTTCCCCACTGGCACCCTCATAGCTCCCCCGCAATGGAATTTATATACACATTCTATCATTTCTGTTTAGGCCTCTTGTGTCAAGTTAGTGTCCCCAAATGTTCCTTAGTGCAAGCTCATCTGCTGAGGTCTAGTCAGCCTATCTAGAATCTCTAGTTTTAGGAAGATCAGCTCTTCCTCACCCAGCAGTAATCATTTGCCAATATTTCTTCAGATGATTGGGGTCTGCTGTTTATTTCCCCAGTTCTATGCAAACTTAAGCTTTCTTTTTAATCCAGTGCCATTTATGGTTAGAAGTTTTCCCGTTCTGCTCAATTTACCAGTTTACCAGTTAGATACTAAAATGCCTACCAAATGCTGAGTGCTTTGCTCAGAATACTGGCACCTTTTACTACAGGAGTGAACCTGTATTATTCAGTCATTTGGCAAATATTGACATGTAGGCTGAGTTACTGTGATTCTAAGTGCTGAAGCTAAACCAGTGAACATAGAAAAAAATGTTGCCTTTGAGAAGTGCTTATTTGAATAGGCAGATCGTATAGACAAGAAGAACACTAAAACTTTAAAATATATGCCAGGTGTGGTGGTGCAGGCTTTTAATCCCAGCACCTGGTGGGGGCAGAGGTAGGTGGGTCTTTGTGAGATCAAGGCCAGCCTGGTTACCATAGTGAGTTACAGTCCTGCTGGGGCTACAGGAAGACCCTGTTTCAAAAAAGACAGACAATTTTTAAAAATATTAGCTGGGTGTGGTGGTGCACACCTTTAATCCCAGTACTCGGGAGGCAGAGCAGGCGGATCTCTGTGAGTTCAAGACCAGCCTGGTCTACATAGTGAGTTCCAGACCAGCTGGGGCTACAGGGAGACCCTGTCTCAAAAAAAGACCAAAAATAAACAAACAACAACAAAAAACATATATATGTATATATACACACACACACATATAGTGTGCCTATGTTAGTAAATGCTGGAGAGAGAGAGAGAGAGAGAGAGAGAGAGAGAGAGAGAGAGAGAGTATGTGTGTCTGTTGGGATAGACTTTAAGATTTAGTTTAAGGAGGAGTAACAGAAAAGTTATTAGCAAGTGTTGAATAAAGAAAATGAGTGTGATGCACCTATTGAGGCAGAAGTAGGATTGCAAACTACAGATGCTAGAAAGGAGGCCCTTAGGCAAGAACACACCTGAATAAACAAGAATCACCAGATAGTGGCTGAAGTGAGTAAGAGAAGGGGACCAGCAGTTAAAGAAAAGGATGACACTGGGGGCGGGGGGCATGCCTGACAGCCATTGTTAAGAACTTCAGCTTTTAGATGAGTGAAAGATGCACTGAACAGCATGACTTAATATATAGTTGATGATTTCCAGTTGACGAAAGCCAGTGCCTGAGTTTCGGCCAGCTATCAGCTTGGGCGAGTTACTAACTTCTTTATGACATGAAAGTGGGGATAATGCCTCCTGAATTGGACCGTTGTGAGGAATCAATGAGATCCATGGGAATAAAGCATTTAGAACAGCATCTGGCACATAGTAATGCTGTGTGTGCTTGTTACTGAAATATTTTGCTCTTTAGTTAATATATGTGTAGATGCAAGTGAACATAAACATGTAATGCTGTCAAGATGTTGCCCAGTTTATATTTGATTGAGAAAGGTACCCAGGTGATTTCCTCTGTTTTCGGTTTTGCTGTATCCCCCACCTTTTTTAAGGGTTAGAATTGAGTATTTCTTTCTCTCTCTAATAATAATTAAAATCACTAACATGCAGAAATTACTGTTAAATTTAGGCTAGTTAATATATTTAAACTATAAAGAGTCTGACTAGAAAAGAGACTTCTTAAAAGTTTGTCATGCTGCAGTACAGACTGCAGTGTTTTACATTAGTACACCAGAATCACTTTGCAACTTTTGACTCAATGCAAATGTTAATGCATTTCAGTGTCACTGCTAGTTGGATTGAAGCAAACCTCCCAGATGATTCTAAAGACACATGGAAGAAGAGGGGAAATGTGGATTATGTGGTACTTCTGGACTGGTTTAGTTCTGCAAAAGATTTACTCCTTGGAACCACTCTACGGAGTCTGAAAGATGCACTTTTCAAGGTTAGTAAGTTTCTCTATTGTAACTGCAAGCTTTGTCTGGTTGTTAGGAAATCATGGAGACTAGTTTTCCTTAAGAACAAAGGTCCCTCTTGCTTTGATTATAGAATTTTAAAAAATATTTTATTATTTTTATTTTATGTGTATGCGTGTATTGCCTGCATGTAGGTAAGTGCACCCGTGTTGTGCAATGCCTGCGGAGGTCAGAAGAGGCTGTCCGATCCCCTGGAACTGGAGTTACGGATAGTTGTTAGCTGCCATGTGGGTGCTGGGATATGAACCCAGGTCTTCTGTAAGAACAGTCAGTGTTCTTAACTGCTGAGCCATCTCTCCAGCCCCAATTATAGAATTCTTTAAAAATTCAGGTAAAAAAAAATTGTTTTGGGGACTGGAGAGAATCAACAGAAAATGGTAAATAGATCTACATAAAATATATTAAGCCGGGTGTGGTGGTGCACCCCTTTAGTCCCAGCACTTGGGGGGCAGAGGCAGGCGGCAGGCCTGCTGGGGCTACAGGCAGACCCTGTCTCAAAAACACCCAAAAAATTTTTTTTAAATTAATTAAAGTTTTCAGAAATGTAAATTAATCTGGATTTTTTGTTAATTATGAATTAGATTATAAAACATAAAAATGAAGTCACCAAGGGAGAAAGACTGATAGATTTGATTTTATAAAATAAGGAAGATGTGAGAAATAAGATTGAAAAGCACACCTTTAATCCCAGCACTGTCTAGAGTTACAGACAGTTGTTAGCCTCCATGTGGGGCCTGGGAATCGAACCCAGGTCCTCTGTAAGAACAATCAGTGTTCTGAACCACTGAGCCATCTCTCCAGCCTCCAAAAATAAAATTTTAAAGAACTTTAAAAGAAGACAAAAATTTTTGCAACAAATATGGCAGATTTGCTATTGTTTTGATGAGACAGTTTTGCTATTAGCCCAAACTAGTCTTGAAATCACAGTACTTCTACCTCAGCCTCCTGAGTGTAGAATTAAAGGTGTCTAGCTCATGGCAGTGGTTTTTATTTTTGTTTTTAAGATTTATTTTTAATAATGTGCCTGCAGAGGCCAGAGGAGGGCATCAGATCCCTTCAGTCTGGAATTACAGGTGGTTGTGAGCTGGCATATATGGGTGCTGGGACTCTGCAAGAGTAGCATTCTTTAACATCTGAACCATCTCTCCAGGCCCAATGACAGTTTTTTTAAAAATATCTAAAACTGAGGTTAAGGATATAGCTCAGTGGTAGAACACTGCCTAAAACATGTAAGACTTCGCATTTGAGCAGCTGCACAACAAAAAACAAATAAGTAAATGAATCTTCTAAACTCTGAAGAGACTTTAAACAATAGATAAGTAAATTACAAAAAATAGTAAGTGGACATAAATTGTCATAAACAGAGGACATACAAGTTGGCCTAACCATTAAAAAAATGGTTAGCTTCATGGTTAAATGGTTAAATGGATGCAAATTAAAATAAGTGCTATTTTGACTGAGTAAATTCATAGAGAGTTAAAAGTAATAGTTTAACTTATTATTAGACAGTGATAACACAGAATGCCAGTGATCGTGTGTGGTGGACTCTAAAACTCATCTGCTGTATTTTTATTATTTCATAATTTCATAGTGTGTTTTGATCATATTCCATCTCCACCATCTTCTCTCAAATTCATCTCAACCTCACCCCAACTTTGTGTCCTCTTTTTCTTTTTTAAGCCCATGAAGTCCAATTTCTGTTGCCCAAATCCTCTTGGTATAGGGTCATGCCCTGTAGGGTCAAACCCTTAGAGAAAACTGACTCTCCTTCCCCAACAGCTTTCAGGTGCCAACAGCTCCTCAGCTAGGGTTGGGACTTCATGTCCACCCCCATCTCCATGCTGGGATTTTGTCAGGCTTCAGCTTACCCAGGTCTTCTGCATGCTGTCACAGTCTCTTAGAGGTCACATGTGCAGCTGTCCAGTTGTGTCCAGAAAGCACTGTTTCCTAGTAGTTTTCCACTGCTCTGGCTCTTACAATCTTTCTGTCCCCTCTTCCGTGACTATAACTGAGCTTTGAGGGGAGGAGTATGATACAGAAGGGACAGTTTAGAGCTCCCTAGTCCATAGTTTCTTATTCACTGCATAGTGACCAGTTACGTGTCTCTGTGTTAATCTGCATCTACTGCAAAATGAAGCTTCTCTGATGAAGGTTGAGAGATATGCTAATCTGTGGATATAACAGTAAGTCATTAGGAGTTGGTTTAATGCTATGTCCTTTTAGTAGAATAACAGTAGTAGGATCTCCCCTAGGGTCCATGACGTATCTAGCCACAGGTTTGTGGCCCCAATAATGGTACCAGGTATGGGCTCCCTCTTGTGGAGCTGGCCTCCTATCCAATCAGAAGTGTTTGCTTACTCCCATAACATTCATACCCCAATTGTACCAGCAGGCATATCTTGCCAGGCCAGCTAGTAAGGTAGCTTGCACTGGTTCACATTGGGTAAGATTCATGACTACTTTTTTCCTCTGGTAGCGTGCATAGCACCTTAAGAACTATGAAAACCAGCCAGTAGGGATGAACCTTCAAGATCAATACCAACTTCATTTCTTCATGTTCAATGGCACAAGTATGGAGTGTCTTCGGCAAAAGGGTCTCATTGTCAAGTTCTGGAGGTTAACCAAGAGCAATGGTGATAGCCAGTAATGTTTGGGGGGATGTCTGTGGGACACTATTGGCCAATAATTTCAAATTTCCCATTTCTGGCCCAGGGCTTTTTATTCGCTAGCCTGTAGTGTCTAGTAGGGGCATTGTGCACCCCCCCCCCATTATATGGTACCTACATTTAAACTCTTTGTATATATGTGTGTGTGTGTGTAAGCTTCTACAGTGGTAGTTTCCATATGACTGTTTTAAAAGCCCTTAGTGTTGGTTATCCCTCCTCATTTTCCCTCCCCTTCCATGCCCTCCCATTCCTTACTAATAGAACAGTCTTAAAAGCCTTAAAACAATTCATGCAAAAATGAATACAGAAATAAATCCACAAACAAGAGACTGCCAGCATTCAACTGTCTGTAACCTACAAAAGAGGCACTTTCATAACATCCAACCTAAGATACATGAACATTTAATGTATAACTCACACAGCAAATCTGTTAGAAGATGGAGTGAAATGACTGAGGTGGGCCAGCTGGGTTGCCAGTAAGTAACGGGAAGTGCATCCCTAATCTATGTCTTAGATTAGATGGCTCAAATATATAATTGTGTAGATTGAATTAGTAAGCGTGGAAGCATTAGTATTTTTTTATTGATCTTAATCCCAAACCAAGATGCCATAGGGGATGATCACTACATTTAACTATGAAAAAACAGTATGAAGCCAGATGAGGTGGTGTATACCAGTAATCCCAGCAGAAGGATTACAAATTCAAGGTCAGTCTGGGCTTCATGGTAAGTCCTTATCTTGCCAAAACAACCAACCACCAACCAACCAACCAAATAAATAACCAAATACATACATAAATAAATAAATAAAAATAAATACAGCAATTTACCATACATAAGTAAAATATAGGAGAAGACTGTTTTCTCCAGTACATATGCTACAAAGGAAATAGCAGACAACTCATTAGCTAGGGTTGTCCTCTGGTCCCTCACACACATGTACACACAGGTTGCCTGTGCACCTACACACATAAAAAAGATTTTCAGTCTCGCTAACAGGGAAATGACAGTTGAAATAAGATACCATTTTAGGCCTGGAGAGTTGGCTCAACAGCTAAGACCACTGGCTGCTCTTATAGAAGGCCTAGGTTTGATTCCCAGCACCCACATAGCAGCTAACAATTGTAACTCCAGTTCCAAGGGAATCCGACACCGTCTTCTGACCTCCACAGGCATTGCGTGACATGGGTGCACTTACACACAGGCAGGCAATACAGTCACACACATAAAATAAAAATGATAAAATATTTTAAAAAGGTACCATTTTATGTCCACCATTAGGAAAAATGTATAAAAATTTGTAATGAGCATTCTCACATACTGTTAGGTAAGTGCTTGCTATAGCTGTTTTGAAGGGCATCGTGTATCAGATTTTTAAACCAACAACTGTAGACCTAAAAAATTATCCTAAAATAAATTCAAAAAGGTATATTTTCAGTTATCATCTTGAAGATAAACAATGTAATATTGAAAGTCCTAAAATGCTCTTGTGTCTTGGATTAGCAACTCCATTTTGGGGAATTTTACCTAAGGAGGGTGATAGAATATATGCATGTGTAAGGATCCTTACACATGTCTATTTATCCCAGCATGAGGGGAGGAAATGTTCAAATGATTGATTAAATGCTGAAGGGGTGTGTGTGTGTGTGTGTGTGTGTGTGTGTGTGTGTGTGTGTGTATTAAATGAATAGTAATCGTTATTAATGATACTAGTGAAATGTTCATGTAAAAGAAAAGCAGCAGCAGATTAATAAGAGCTTGATTGCTTTGTAAAACTAAAATTGGAGGGGCTGGAGAAATGGCTCAGCAGTTAAGAGCACTGACTACTCTTGCAGAAGACCCAGGTTCAATTCCCAGCACCTATTTGGTGGCTAGCAACAACCTGTAATTCTAGGTCCAGGGACTCTGCCCTCTTCCAACTTCCGTTGGCATTGCACAACACAGGTGCATTTACATACATGCAAGCAATATACTCACACACATAAAAATAATAAATAAAATATTTTTTAAAAATGAAATTTGAGGGGCTGGAGAGATGGCTCAGCACAGTTAAGAACACTGGTTGTTCTTGCAGAAGACCTGAGTTCGAATCCCAGCACCACATGGCAGCTAACTACTGTCTGTAACTCCAGTTCTAGGGGATCCAACAGCCTCTTCTGTCCTCCACGGGCATTGCATGACACAGATGCACTTACCTACACGCAGGCAATACATGCATACACATAAAAAAATAAAAATAATACATAATTTTTTTAATGAAATTTGAAAAGTAGTGTGTTCATATTTAGACTATCTAAGAATGAAATCCGAAGTGTTAAAGTGCTATCTCTGGGTAATCGAGTTATAAGTAATTTTTATCTTTTGTTCATTTATATTCTAATTTTTCTCCTAAGATCATGGGTTGCTTCTTGATTTTTAAAACTTGGCATTGTTATATATGTCTACTATTTCATTTAATGTTGGATTTTGAATTTCTTTTTGTCTCCATTATGTGAAAGGTAAACCTTGCCTGAAAGGTTGCAGTTCTGCATTTGGGGTTGTTGTGTTTTATGACTTTTACTGTTGAGAGTAATTATTTAAAAATAATATTTCTTCTTTTGTAGTGGGAAAGCAAAACTGTCCTGCGCAATGAGCCTTTAGTTTTAGAGGGAGGCTATGAAAACTGGCTCCTTTGCTATCCCCAGTATACAACAAATGCTAAAGTTACTCCACCCCCACGAAGCAAAAATGAAGAGGTGTCTATCTCATGTATGTATGTCCAAAAAATTGTTTAAAATTGCCTCCATCCATTATAAAGCAGATTATGTGTTCAGGGTAACCTTGGTTGTATGTGCATTTTTCCTATTAAATAAGTTTGTTTGGGCTGGAGGGATAGTGTAGCTAACAACCAAAAACATAAATAAGTTTGTTTTCAGGCAAAATAGTACAGGTGGAAGTTCCTATTTTCTTTAAGATTATTGTGATTGGGACTGGAGAGATGGCTCAGCAGTTAAGAGCACTGACTGCTCTCACATAGGACCCAAGTTCAATTCCCAGCACCCACATGGCGACTAAGACCTGTCCTTAACTCCAGTTCCAGGGAAATCCAAAGCCCTCTTCTGACCTCTGTAGCATTGCATGACACGGGTGCACTTACATGCAGGCAATACACTCATACACATAAATTTTTTTTTAATTTTTAAAAAAAGACTATTGTGATTGTACTACGTGTGGTGGCACACGCCTTTAATCCCAGCACTGTGGAGGAAGAGACAGATGGATCTCTGAGAGCTAGGCCAGCCTAGTCTACATAGAGAGTTCCAGACCAGCTGGAGCTTCAGGGGAATGGTCTCCAAAAACAAGATTCTTGTGATTGTGTACGTATAGCATGAATAATGTGAACATTATATATGAGGTTTACTATTCTTTTTTTTTTTTTTTTTTTTGGGTCATTTTGAGACAGGGTCTCCCTGTAGCCCCAGCTTTCCTGGAACTCACTATGTAGACCAGGCTGGCCTTGAACTCACAGAGATCCGCCTGCCTCTGCCTCCCAAGTGCTGGGATTAAAGGCATGCACCACCATGCCCAGCAAGGTTTACTATTCTTAAAATCATTATTCTTTTGGGAATTTTAGTGGATTTTACTTATCCCTCGCTGGAAGAACCAGTTCCTTGTAAACTTCGTGCCCAGATGCCGCCAACTCCTATAGAAGTAGATGAAGATACAGAATTGGTACATGATCAAGATGAAGGAATCAGATCACTGAACATGTCAACTCCAGTGGAACCAGGTGCTGCTTCCAAAGCTGAGATTTCACCCAGAATTCAGCCAGTGCCTGTTACAAAGAGTATTCCACAGGTATTGTCTTGATTTGTTCGTGTGTGTGTGTGTGTGTGTGTGTGTGTGTATCTTTTTGTTTTAATATTGTATTAGACACATGATATACAAATGGGGTTTCATATGTAACCTATAATATCTTAGAAAATGTCAGAAGGATCTGTACAACTTGGCACCTTTATTTTTACAAAAGATTGTTAACATAATTCAACCCTGTTGCCACAACTATATTAGATAATTTAAAGGATTTCAAACCTAGCTGGTGGCCATTTCCCACAACTCTTATCAGTAAAAGTTTGTGTTCTACAATCAACTAAAAGAATTCTGTTTTTGTTGTTGTACAGCTGTCCTTCAGTAGCTCCTCAAGATTAGTTCCAGGACTCCCCAAGGATAACAAAATTAGTAAATGTTCAAGTCCCTTTTATAAAATGGTGTAGTATTTACACATAACCTGCATACATTTTAGAATCATTGCTTCTGATGCATTGTTTATTAATGCATTGTCTATTGTATTGATGCCATGTTATTCAGAGACTAATGACAAGGAAGGTCTCCTACATGGTCAGCACAGGTGCACTTGTTAAAAAGCAAAATACTTTCAACATGGAACCCATCAATAGAAAGGGTTGCTTGTCTGTGTTTGCATGTGAAAGATGTGAGATGTCAGTATTTTGTTGTTGTTGTTGTTTTTTGTCTTTTTTTTTAATTATTATTTTTATGTGTATAAGTGTATTGCCTTCATGTATGTGAGTGCACCCGTGTCGCGTAATGCCGCGGAGGTCAGAAGAGGGCTTTAGATTCCCCTGGAACTGGAGTTAAGGACAGTCATAGCCACCATGTGGGTGCTGGGAATTGAACCCGAGTCCTCTGCTATAGCAGTCAGCGCTCTTAACCACTGAGACATCTCTCCAGCCCCTTTTTTGGTCTTTTTGAGACAGGGTCTCCCTGTAGCCCAGCTATCCTGAACTCACTATGTAGACCAGGCTGGCCTTGAACCCACAGGGATCCACCTGCCTCTGCATTAAAGGCATGCGCTGCCAGGCCCAGCAGTATTTTGTTTTTAAAACAGTATTTTAGCTCCATTTCATTGGAATTTGAATCTTTAACAGTAGTTAAACAGTAGTTATTTACAACTTTAGCCAAGATGCTCAACAAAAATTTAGAGCGCCCCCTTTTTTGGTTAGGTTCTATTTGAAGAAAATTGACTAAAATTTTCTTATGTATTCTTCAATGTATTTTTTTAGCAATTTCTAATTTTTTCCTAGATATGTTTCACATTTGAAGTGGGTGGCCTTCATTTTTAGAGAAGGCTGTTAAAGTGTCTTTGTTTCTTTTTTAAGGTTACCTAATATTTCAGATTAAATCTTCAGACTAAACAATTTGAATTAACAAATTTTCGTGGAGACCGTGTTATTGTACATTTAAGTTAATCAGCCTATTTGAACTCTAAACCTTTTGTATTCCAACATAACTCTGAAAAAGGCACAATTTATCCTACATGTTTTGAGGTTCTTCGCTCAAAAAACATAGAAGCAGGGGCTGGAGAGATGACGCAGTGGTTAAGAGCACTGGCTGCTCTTGGAGAGGACCTGAGTTCAGTTCCCAGCAGCCACATGGCAACTAACGAGTATCTATAACTCCAGTTCCTGATGTCCTCTTTTGGCCTCCACAGCATTGCATGGATGCACTTACATGAAGGCAAAATATTCATATACATAAAATAAAAATAATCTTTTAAAAAAGCTGAGAAGCAGTTGAGGGAAATATCTGTATGAAATGAAAGTTTATAAATATGTGTAAAGTAAATTCTTTCTGGTGCTTAGAAAAAAAAGACCTATGTGAAACTCATTCGCAGTGATTTCATTACTGGAGAGCAGAGGAAAGAAAAACATACTGCTGAGAGTCACCCCTTTCGTGGAAAAAGCAGTATTGTATCTGGCTTAAAGAGCTCAGTAGGGTTTGCAGACACAGACAGAAGTAGAATATATGACAAGCTCTGGTTCACGGAACAGGCGGCAGCTGTGCTATGTAGGTGCAGGTATGTGTTAGGGCAGAATGTAGTAGAAGGTGAGAATGCAAAGATTCAGAAGAGTCAACAAAGACTTGCATCAAATTTGAACCTTATCCAGTAGGTACAAGGGATTGGAGAAAGCATTTTAAGTTTCTAAATGATAGGACCATGGTTGTGCTTTTCAGATTAGGGGATGGTGGAGTAAACTACCAAATATGAATATAAGCATTTCTTTTGTCCTGCTCCACTTAATGCTGACTTCATCTCCATAGCAGTTCTTCTACTTCATTGTCAAGAACATTAGAAGAGAATGGGAAGGGATGTGTTTAAAGAGAAGTGAAAAGAAAATGGCATTTTTTTCTTCACTAACTTCCTTCTTTGCTATCTGATGGAAACAGAATTCATTTACATACATAGGTTGTTACTGGCAGATGTTCTTTGAAGTTCTTGTTTTTGTATGAGCCCACTGCATGCTCAAGAAATGTTAGAGTGACTTCCCACAATGTTGTAGCTTGAATGAGCTGTTAAATTGAGACAGTAAACATTTAACGTCCTAAATGAGGAATTTAGGCAGGGTGTAACTTAACATTCAAACTAATTAGAATCTTCTTTCGAAAGTTGTTGGGGGAGAAGTTAAATCTCTACCCTTTTAGAACTTGTTTTCCAAGAGGAGGGAAAACAAGATTTTAGACACACTTAATCAAGACCTTAAAAAGGACTCTTGAGAAAAAGATTACAATATTTTGAGGGCATATACAGCAGATGCTTGGCTAGTCTGAGCAATCGAGGGAATCTTTCCTGAGGGACAGGTGTTTAAACCAAGGTCTAATGTGGACATTATTCATATGAACAGCTATATAAAGACCCAAGTTGGAAAGGAACATACAACTTTAAATTTTTTTTTTTTTTTAGGGCAAGTGTAGGGGCTGGGGAATGGCATGAGGACCAGAGTTCAGCTAGATCGCCAGCACTAACACAAAAAGCCGGGTGCAGCATTGCACACCTCTAATCGGTGAGAGGATCTTTGGGGCTTGCTGTCCAGCCAGTCTTCCCTGGTCAACAAGTTCTAGGTTCAGTGACACTTTCTCAACCACCTAAAGAAGAAACCCAGCATCAACCTCTGGCTTCTACACATACGTGTACACATATGCATGTGTACCTGCACACATACGAGCACAGACACATGAATATATACACACAGAAAAATAGAATTTTAAAAGGCAAGTGTGGCTAGAGTATAGATTGGTGAGATGTGGGCTGGCAAGGTGGCTTAGTGGCTGAAAGTGTTTACTCTGCTGCCAAAGCCTGATGACTTAAGTTCAGTCCCCAGGACCCACATGGTGAAGAGAACTGACTCCTGCAAGTTCTCCTCTGACCTCCACATGTGTACATTGTTACACGTGCATGCCCCTCCCTCATATACACAGTAAATAAGTAAGTAAATGTAATAAAAATGTCTCTAAAAAATAATAAGATGTAAGAATTGGAAAAGTGGGCTGGTGAGATGGCTTAACAGGCAGAAGTGCCTGATGGCCCAAGTTTGATTCCTGGATCCCACAAAGTGACAAGAGAAAACTGTTTTGACCACCATGCATGTGCCTGCACTCAAATACACAAAATTTAAGAAGTGGAGCTGGGAATAGTGATGCACACCTTTAATCCCAGCACTCAGGACACAGAGGCAGGCCAAGCTCTGTGATACAGGCTAGCCTTGTTTGCATCATGAGTTCTAAGCCAGTCAGGCTACGTAGTATGGTCCTGTTTTTTAAATAATTATTATTAAATTAATTATTAAATTGAATTTTTTAAGAATGGAAAATTAAACAGAGATAATTATACAGGGCTTTATTGGCCATGATCAAGGTCTTATTTTTTTAAAAATCTTAAATATTTTCTTAAAGTTTCTTTTTTTTATGTGTATGTGTGTGTGTGCCTGCTTGTCTGTATGTGCACCACATTCATGTAGGTGCTCGTGGAGGCCAGAAGAAGGTGTCAGATCCCCCTGGAATTGGACTTACAGGCAGTTGTGAGCAGCCTGATGTGGGTGCTGGGAACCAATCCGAGTCCTCTGCAAGGGCAACAAGTGCCCTTAACCGCTGAGCCATCTCTCCATGGTAAAGATTTTAAATACACCCTAAGAGTAGTGGGTTATCTATTTAAAATAGGGTTTTATAAAACCAGAGAAACATGGTCAGATATGGTGGGGTTTTGGGGTTTTGGTTTTGGGATGTTTTTTGTTTTTTGTCTTTTTGAGACAGGGTCTTTCTGCAGCCCTAGCTTGCCTGGAAGTAGACCAGGCTGGCCTTGAACTCACAGAGATCCACTTGCCTCCCAAGTGCTGGAATTAAAGGCGTGAACCACCCACGCCCAGCTGGTCAGATGTGGTTTTAAATGATTATTCTCAAGCAGGTGACATGGCTCAGCAGGTAAAGGTGCTTGCCACATAAACCTGGCGACCTGAGTTTGGTCCCTGGAAGCCATGTAAAGGTGTAAAGAAAGAACCAACTCCACAACACTGTCCTCTGACCTCCACACATGTGCCCACACACCACACATTATGCACACACAATTTTTTAAATATTTTATTATTTTTATTTTATGTGTATGTATTGCCTGCATGAGTGTTAAGTGCACCTGTGTTGTGCAGTGCCCACAGAGGTCAGAAGAGGGCATCAGATCCCCTAGAACTGGAGTTATGGATGGTTGTTAGCTGCCACATGGGTGCTGGGACTCAAACCTGGGTCCTCTACAAGAGCAGTCAGTGCTTTTAACTGCTGAGCCATCTCTCCAACCCCAGCACACACAGGTTTTTGTGGGTTTTTTTTTTTTTAATATTATTTTTATTTTAGGTGTATGAGTATATTGCCTGCATGTATGTGAGTGCACCTGTGTTGTGCAGTGCTACAGAGGTCAGAAGAGGGCTTAAAATTCCCCTTGAACTGGAGTTAAGGATGGTTTGTAGCCGCCATGTGGGTGCTGGGAATCGAACTCAGGTCTCTGCAAGAGCAGTCAGTGCTCTTAACTGCTGATCCATCTCTCCAGCCCTACACACACAGTTTTTAAAATGAGGAAAAGAAAAAGAAGTTGCAGTGGTTACTTTTCGTATAGTATAGGGAAGTAGACTACAAGTATGGCAAAAGAAGATGTAGGCAACTAGTTGGAATCTTTCCTACAGTCCTGGTTCATTGTTTGGCAGAGGCTTTGTGGATGGTAGCAGAGGTAGAGGAAAAACTAAAGGAAACCTGTCAGGCTGCAGGAAGAAACTGACATAGAACTGTCAAAAATTTCTGCATTACCCACCTGATTGGAGAGTGAAGATAAATGCCATGTTTGTGAATGAGTCATGTGTTCATTTTGGGCCCTGTTAATGTGGAAGTAGTGATGGAAGCTAGTTGTGTAGGAATGGAACTTCAGTGTCCTTATGCCAGGTCTGGGTTCTGTGATTGAGTATTAAGACGTTTGTAACTCTTCTGCATACAGAGCAAACAGACTGTAACTCAAGTAATACTCGTGAATTTTGCTGAGCCAGGAGGATTGTGAGTTCGAGGGCTATATATAAGACACTGTCTCAAAAACAAGAAACAAAAGCATATTTTGTCCTGTTCATGTTCCTCTAGGTTGATCGTACTAAAAAACCAGCAGTCAAGTTGCCTGAAGATCATAGAATAAAATCTGAAAGTTCAGATCAAGAGCAGCAGTGTCCTCAGAATGGAAAAGTTCTTCCTGATCGTTCTACCAAGCCAGTACTTCCCCCCCTAACGGCTGTGTTAACAGATGAGGAAAAGGCTCGTATTCATGAAGAAACTGTTATGCTCATGGAGAAAAACAGACAAGAGAAAGAACTTCGGGAACGGCAACAGGAAGAGCAGAAAGAGAAGCTGAGGAGGGAAGAACAGGAGCTAAGAGCTAGAAGGAAGCAGGAAGCTGAAGACAGGGAAGTCCCGGAGAGTCACCAGAAACCCAAGGAAGACACAGACAAGAGAGACAGCAAACAGGCCAGCCAAGAAGATAAAGAGCCTTCAGCAAAGAGGAGCAAAGAAGTAACAGGATTAAAAAGACAAAGTAAAAGTGAACATGAAACTTCTGAAGCCAAGATATCTGTGGAAGATAGGGGGAAAAGGTGTCCAACCCCAGAAGTGCAGAAAGGGCCAGCAGATGTGCCCCCCGCACCCATGGCAGGAGATTTGAGTGTAGGCAAGGTAAGCACAAACAAGCAGTATGGTCCCCAACCAAGAGATGTCAGATGTGTGTGAAAATGGCCTTCCATATACAGTCAGGCATTTGATAGTGTTCTGGAAAGAGACAGGCTGTCCTGATCATATGCATTTACTCACCTGCTCTCCATTGAGGCAGTGATGACATACATTAAGTGATTGGTTGGCAATAGAATTATTTTGGGGTAGGGACTATAAAATGTAATATATCTTTAATAATTGATGGAAAGAACTATATTCTTCATTTTTATGTTTCATCTATGAGGGATCATCAAAACACAAGAATGAGCTGTTCCGCTGGGCGTGATAGCCCACGCCTTCAATCCCAGCACTTTCGGGGCTCTGTGAATTCCAGGCCAGCTGGGGTTACAGGGAGACCTGTCTCAAAAAGACCATAGAAAAAAGAAAAGAATGAGCTGTTCCAGGGACATTCTTGTGGGCACTTGAGTGGTCCAGAGTTTGACATACCACCATGGGCTTTCCTACAATACAACCTCTAACAAAGCTAGGTTGTCCTCAACCCCTGGTAATAGAATTGTTCACCTTCATAACAAGAAGGTTGGGAACACTCCAGAATCCTCATGTGGTGTGTACTTGGGCAGACTATGAGGGGTTCATGCTATGAGACCTCAAGTCTTATGAAATTGTCCAAAACAAAAAAGCATGTCAGCAGGGCCTATTTTGATTCTGTGCATGTTGGTGACAGGATCGAGTGTACTTTTCTTACTGAGCAGAAAATCATTGTGAAAATATTGAAGGCAGAGGCCCAGAATCACAAAGCGAAATAAATTTGAAGCTCTTCTTTTGGGGTAGGGGGGGCTTTTTGAGACAGGGTCTCCCTGTAGTCCTAGGTAGCCCTGGAACTCACTATGTATACCAATAGACTAGGCTGGCCTTGAACTCACAGAGATCTGCCTGCCTCTGCCTCCTGAGTGCTAGAATTAAAGGCGTGCACCACCACACCTGGCAAATTTGAAGCTTTTTTAAGTAAAAAAATCAAGACTTGTTTTTTTAAAAAAAGAAAGATGAGAATGAAATACAGTCTTCTCACTATGAAAAGTAATATACGTGTATCTACTTAGATTATGTGTGAAATCAGTAGCATCTAAACTCTAATTAATTTATCTTTACACATAATCTTTTTAGGGGGAGGGGGACAGGTCCATGTCATTTTGTTTCTTGTGGTACCTTTTAAAATTAATGTTACTTTTTTCTACCCTTGACTACATACCCAAAGCTGATTGTCATAATTATGGAGGGTGCATTAATGATTACTGTTTTTCCAGTCTCAAAATGTTGCACATTTAGTTTGCATTATATAGTTAACAGTATCTTTTCCTGTTGAACACTAATTTTTTATAATAGCAGAAGCATTTAACAGCCAATTTTTTCATATAAGTAAATGGAAAAACTTTTTTTTTTGGTCTTTTTTGAGACAGGGTCTCCCTGTAGCCCCCGCTGTCCTAGAACTCACTATGTAAACCAGGCTGGCCTTGAACTCACAGACATCTGCCTAGCTCTGCCTCCCAAGTGCTGGGGTTAAAGGTGTGCGCCACCACGCCTGGCTTTTTTTATATGCCTCTAAACTGTTGGTATAATAGTGTTGTGATTTTGAGAAACACAAAATTCCCTTCATCTTTGACCCTGTCTTAAAAAATATGAAGGTCAGGTCTGGAGAGATGGCTCAACAGTTAAGAGCACTGACTGCTCTTGCAGAGGACCCGGGTTCGATTCCCAGCACCGACATGGCGGCTATGAACCATTCTTAACTCCAGTTCCAGAGAAATCCGAAGCCCTCTTCTGACCTCCACGGCAATGCACGACATGGGTGCACTCACATACATGCAGGCAATACACTCATACACATAAAATAAAAATAATAAAATATTTTTTAAAAAATGAAGGTCAACCAAGACAAGGTTTTCTGATTCTTTGGTACTGCGCTAGGTGGCTTTAGTGTCACCTTGACACACCAGGGTTGAGGGAGCCTCATTTGGGGAATTGCGTCCATTGAACTGGCCTGTGGCCATGTCTGTAGAGTATCTTCTTGATTGTTGAGTGATGTGGAGAGCCCAGCCCACTGTGGGTGGTGCCACCCCTGGGCAGGTGGGCCTGTGCGTCATAGAAAGCAGGCTGAGCAGGGGCCAGGGGAGGAAGCCAGTAAGCAGCGTTTCTCCATGGCCTGTGCTCTAGCTCCTGCTTCCAAGTTCCTGCCCTGAGTTCCTACCTTGGGCTCCCTGTTGAACTGTGACCCGGGAGATGTAAGATAAAATAAACCATTTCCTCCTCAAGTTGGTCAGAGTGTTTTGTCACAGCAATGACAAAAACAAACTAGGACAGGTACAGATACTTTTAAGTTTATAAAATGGAAATTTTTGATTGAAAAATCAGATTTTTACTTTTCCAAATTAGGCTCAACGAGAACCTTTGACAAGAGCACGAAGTGAAGAAATGGGAAGAATTGTACCAGGACTGCCTTCAGGCTGGGCCAAGGTAAAAGTCCATATTAGAGTTGAGATAGTTACCTTGATTCTTTATAAAGTGCTGTTTGTTCTCTAATAAAGTCAGTTCTGCTGCTTCACTGTAGAGAATAATATATAATAATTACTAGAGGCTGAGATTTCTAAATGCCCCACCAAGGATATGGGCTACTATATATGATGAGCGTTCTGGCAATAGGATTTAGAAATTGAATATTTCATTAAAGCTAGCCCTAAATTTCTTTGGAAATTAGGAGAAGTGATTATCATTTTCTTATTCAAATTATTTTAAGACTAAAGATGTAGCTCAGTGGTAAAGTTTATGCTTAGCAGGTTCAAGGCCCTAGATTCAATTCTTGGCACCCCCCCCAAAAAACGTTTCCCTCCAGAAGGAAGTTTACAGTAGCCATGAATGAGTCTCTGGAACGATTTATGTGTTTGACCTTTTTTTTGTCATTTTTCCTTTTCCAAGTTTCTTGATCCAATCACTGGAACCTTCCGTTACTATCATTCACCCACCAACACTGTTCATATGTACCCACCGGAAATGGCTCCTTCATCTGTACCTCCTTCCACCCCCCCAACACACAAAATCAAGCCCCAGACTCCTGCAGAGCGGGACAGGGAACCGTCCAAACTGAAGCGCTCCTACTCCTCCCCAGACATCACCCAGGCCATTCAGGAAGAAGAAAAGAGGAAGCCAGCAGTAACTCCAGCAGTTAATCGGGAAAACAAGTAAGCATACTCCAACTTCTAGAACTAAAGCAGTGTTATCAGTTAGAAACCTCTAGTCTGGGCCAGGCAGATCTCTGTGAGTTCAAGGCCAACCTGGTCTACATAGTGAATTCCAGGCCAACTGGGTCTACAGGGAGACCCTGTCTCAAAAAGACAAAAAAAAAAAAAAAAAAAAAAACCACCCCTAGTCTGAATGTGTTATCACATTAAAGCTACAGAGTCAGAAGTTTCTGGGGGTGGCCTGTATCATCTGTCAATATTAGGGAAGAAAGAAAAATGAGTAGGAAAATGTCCTTGGCTTTGCTCCCAAGATTATCCTAAATACTAATGTAGACATGAAACTGTTACATAATTGTTACATATTACAGCAACATGCCATGGCTTCCTCCCCCCATTTTCATAGACCATAGTTTTTTGTTGTTTTTTTTAATTTTGAATTTATTGTGTGTTCCTGGTTCAAGTGGAGGTCAAGACAACTTGCAGGAGTCAGTTCTCTCCTGGCACTATGTGGGTCCCTGGATCAAAGTCAGATCATCAGGTCCTTACCCACTAAGCTGTCTCATTGCCTCAATAGACCATAATCTATAGAATTATTGTGTCTTCAGCGTTACAGAAGTCAAGTCCAATCTTTGCTTTTTTTTTTTCTTTTTTTCAAAATATTTTACTATTTTATGTGTTCAAGTGTATTGCCTGCATGTATGTAAGTGTTGTACAGTGCCCACAGAGGTCAGAAGAGGGCATCGGATCTCCTGGAACTGTAGTTACAGATGATTGTTAGCCGCCATTTGGATGCTAGGAATCGAACCCAGGTCCTCTGCAAGAGGAGCTGGCGCCCTTAACCACTGAGCTATCTCTCCAGCCCCTTTGGTTTTTCTTTTTTTTTTTTTTTTTTTTTTTTTTTTTTTGTCTTTTTGAGACGGGGTCTCCCTGTAGTCCCAGCTGTCCTGGAACTCACTATGTAGACCAGGCTGGCCTTGAACTCACAAAGATCCACCTGCCTCTGCCTCCCAAGTGCTGGGATTAAAGGCGTGTGCCACCACGCCTGGCTTCTTAAAACATTTTTTATTTATTTATTTATTTTTTATGTGTATGCATGTATTGCCTGCATGTAGGTAAGTACACTGTGTTGTGCAGTGCCCTTGGAGGTCAGAAGAGGCTAGATCCCCTGGGACTGGAGTTACGGACAGTTGTTAGCTGCCATATGGGTGCTGGGATTCAAACCCAGGTCTTCTGCAAGAACAACCAGTGTTCTTAACCACTGAGCCGTCTCTCCAGCCCCTCATTTGGTTTTTCTTAACCAATAGCATATAGGCAAAATTTCCTGTAGTGTTGAAATAACAGTCACTATAGTGTATCTCCTTTTTCCTTCATTCCATTTCTGTTCTGTTCACAGGAGTGATCAGTAGGTTCCTGTATGCTTCCCAAAGTAGTGTATCATTTAGATAGATACATTCCTGCCTTATAACTGACAGGGCTTTGTCACTTTCAGGGAAGGTGGAGAATAGATGGAAATAAGATTGACCTTCCATATCCATGGCTACTGGTTCAGTTGGTAGAACGTTTGCCTAGCATCCACAAAGCCTGGGTTTGATCCCCAAGCCTTGCATAAGATGACTGTGGTGACTCACAGAGTTCAAGGCCAGCTGGGGCCACACGGAGACCCTGTCTCAAAAAAATAAAAATGGGAGGCAGAGACAGGCCGATCTCTGTGAGTTCAAGGCCAGCCTGGTCCATATAGTGAGTTCCAGGACAGCTGGGGCTACAGGGAGACCCTGTCTCAAAAAAACCAAAAAAAAAAAAAAAAAAAACCCAATCAAACAAAAAAACGTCATTACAGTAATTGGTGAGATTATTTCCTTCATTAATTTAGTGATATTTTGAGGCTATCTCATATACAATTCATGTATTTTTTTTTAATTTAAAAAGACCTTGTTCGTCTTTTTAATATTAATGTTTAATATTCATTTTAAAAGATATTTTAAAACATATTTGGTGAGTGGAGAGATGATTTAGCAGTTAAGAACACTGCCTACTTTTGTAGAGGACCTGGGTTTGGTTTCCAGCACTCACACGGCAGCTAACAACTATTTGTAACTAGTTCTAGGGGATCATACTCCCTCTTCTGACTTCCTTGGGTATTGCATGACACAGGTGTACTTATACACATGCAGGCAATAAAATACTAAAAATTAATACATTTTTAAAATAAATATGCTTGCCAGGCATGGTGGTACATGCCTGTAGTCCCAGCACTTGGGAGGCAGAGGCAGGCAGATCTCTGTGAGTTCAAGGCCAGCCTGGTCTACATAGTGAGTTCCAGGACAGCTGAGGCTACAGGGAGACCCTGCTTCAA